GCCCGGACGGTGCGGGCCTCGCTCCTGGAGGGGGCGGGTTCCGAAAGACAATGCGGACCGGGAGAGGAGGGGAAGGGGGTGGCAACCGAGTCCGGAATCTGAGCCGGGGAAGGCGGAAGGAAAGCCCACTCGGGGGGCGGGGAAGGGGAGAGGCCCAGAAAAAGTGTTAGCCACAAGTCTTGAGGATGGGGACCCATAGGGGAGGACTATGGGATGTGGGGACGGGGAGCTCAGTGGTTAATCCCTCAGAGAAGTCGGACGCCCTGGGGCGGGATAAGACACCACTGGGGCAAGAAGACTCACCCCTCTCTCTGCTCTGAGAAGACCTGGGGAGGTTAACCCACAACGGCTCCCCTCCCTTTTTTCTTTAATGACAGTGAATCATGTCATTAAATGTAAAGAACTACTCGGTTAAATATGCCAAGAAGGCGTTTTATCCAAAAAACAAATACTTTAGGTTCGACTGGGGTACTAAAAATATCCTTAAGGGAAATGTAAAGTTGTTGGGTTTTTTTTTTTTTTTTTTTTTTTTTTTTTTAACTGACGTTGGAAGTAGGAAGTGATGTAGGATCCAAAGTCCGTTCTGACTTTGGAGGTGAAAAGTTGGGGCCTTAACAGCGCCAGGGAAAATAAAAGTGAAAGTTCACCAAGCCCTGGGGAAGAATTGGGCTGTAGTTTTTCTCTAAGGGGTCGGAGAGGAAATGCCCAGAGGCTGTAGGTGTTCATGGCTCTGGCAGGAGACAGTCACCAAAGCTGGCCTAGAAGCCCTTGCGGAGGAGGTGGCAAGCCCAGGATTTGAGACAGGTATTTGTTGGCTGTTAGGCTCAGGGAGGACACACTGATTTGCTGAGAAACAGGCAAGAAACTTATGTTAAAGGAGAAAGGATGTCCCTGGTTGGCAGAGTCAGAAGGTCCTTTTCCTTGCAAGTCTCCAGTGAGAAGGGAACTGGAGTTCCAAGGTGAAAAGAGAAGCCAAAAAAGAAAGAAGGAAAGCAAGAAAGAAAGAAAGAGAGAGAGAGAGAGAGAGAGAGAGAGAGAGAAGAGTAACTGGCAACTTACTATTAGGTTTGATGTTCTGGGGTTCACAATGCATTAAATTATCCCACCCTCCCCTTTAAAAAGCTCATCTGTTGTAGATTTCCAAAAGTAACCAATTTACTGTGTAATATTTAGAGAGTTTGGGGTTCAACAAAACTGTTGTACAGGCTCAGGCCTCAGAAAGAAGACAACTAAAAATAATGATACTGAGATTGACAAGGCCAACGAATTCCCCTGCACTGGACAGAAAAACTCCCAAGCACATTAGCACACTAAAGCAAAAGAGCAGACAAAATAAGGGCGGGATGGGGAGGCGGTGAGATTTACCATCCCACCAGCTCCCAACTTCCATATTCATCAGAAAATCAGAAGTGGAGGGAGAAAGAGCCTGAAAAAAAATAAAATAAGACAAAACAAATGTGTACATTTCATCGGACGGATTGCATGGGACACAAAGTGGAGGGCTAATTAGTCTCAGCAGGTAGGGCTAACCTTCAGACTTCATAAATAAATAAGGCAGCGCAGTGTCTAGGAGGGAGCATGGAGACAGAAAGGGGAATATTTCAAGACACCAAGTAAAAACACAAAATGCAGCCCTGTCTTGAGTCTGTATAGATGACTGACCCCCTTCCTGGGTCTTCCCACAGATTCCATGTCTATCCAAACAGCTGTAGCTCTACATATTTGTTAATTGCCATCCATGTATAACTCATGTATATACCCAAGCCGGTCTCTGCACCATATCATACAGACCTTGCCAAATCCTGTTTGGGGCTTGACGACAACTGGGAATGCTTTCCCATGAACTCTGCTCTAGGACCAATTCTTTGTCCTGTACGATGGTTTGGGGTTCTTTTTATATTTTCATCTACTCCTGATCAACTTGATTTGAAACAAATTGAATAATGGGGTCGACCTTGCTCCTTATGGGACTGATTGTACAATAAAAGGTTATGAATATCCTGAATTGAAATTGTTAGTGTCATTGTATCTAATTTACCTTGTAAATACTAAGGGCTTTCTTTGGTTACCAATGCCATTGTCTAGCTTGGCACAGCCTTATTTTTCTCACTCTGAATTTTTCTCACTTTGAATCGTCCCTTAAATCTCCAACTTAACTGGTAAAAAAGTTATTCCATAACAGGTCATGTGCCACATTTCATATCATTAGGGGGAGAGAAACACGCAAGATCTCCATTGACCTCTAATCCCTGTTGTTGCTTGTGGTGGTACCCAGAAGAGCAAGAGGAGAGGGCAGGGCAGGGAATGCCACTGACAGGCAGCAAAATAAAACAATATTCAAAAATGAAAAGCCGGATCTACCCACCACGTGGACCTACAGTTTATAGATTTGGCAACAACTCTTTAAACGCCAATTGACTCATGTCTGAGCATTGATAATACGACTGAATTCTGACCAAATGGCAAAGATGCTAAAAACTGAGGGACGCCAGACTGGTTCTAATGTTGGCTTGAGACTTGAAAGACATTTGGGCATCCTGGTCTTTGCATGTGGGAGTGGGCAGAATGGATGGAGAAACTGTTCTTGTTTCTCATCATTTGGAGCCCCTCCCTGGGCCAGTCCAGGTCCCCAAGTGCCAGGCTGTTCTACAGACCACCCCCACCCATCCTCTTTACTCCATTTCTGGCTTCTTGGTCTTACCTACTGCCTTCCTCCCATTGACTTTCTCCTGGTGGGTTTATGTAAACCTTGGCAATCTGTATATTGCCCTGAAACGTAAGTGACTAAGCTAGTCAGATGTGACTCAAGTCTGCCAATGTAGCACTCAGGAGGCAGAAGCCTGATCTACAGAGTAAATGACAAAATAGCTAGGTTTACATACGAAGAGCTTTACATATGAAGTATGTCTCCATAAAGAAATACATCTTAAGAGAATAGGTTGCCTGGGAGAGTGGGGTGTGGTTTCTAATCCTGAGTGTGAGAAGGTGACTGCTGTTTATATCAGTCACCCTCGAGGCACAGGGGAGGTGGAGGAGGTGATCACTGAAATACTGCAATAATAGATGGCCATAAGCCATACTACTTGTGGCCTCTTTGTCCTGCATCACCTTGAGGGTGAGGTATGGATTATTTTCTGGTGTGCTTTTTATATTCAAAAGAGTTCATGAGTCTATAGTTTTCTTCCAGACAAGTCATAGTAAGAGGCTGGCTTTGTGATACTGGGGATACAAGGGTGGTCGGCTTGCACCATCTAGAAGCAGGGGCTCTATGATGATAGCAACACTCAGCTCCTCCAATCACTAGGCAAGAGTCTAATCAAATACCCTTGATGTCAACCTATGCATGCATGAAGGGTGTGTGTGTGTGTGTGTGTGTGTGTGTGTGTGTGTGTGTGTGTGTGTTTCTGTTCTTGTTCCATTTCCCTTTGCAGACTCAGCCTCCAGGATGGGTGATCTGTCACACACTGTGTTGGACTTATCTTGGCAGGGAGTGTGCTGATTGAGGGAAGGAAAAAAAAAAGCATTTGGAAATACAAGGAAACTATAAAGGGGGTGGGGTGTTTAGAACCCAAAGTCCTGATTCCACTGAGAGATTTTTTTGTGTGTGTTTGCTTTTTGTCCCATGTGGGTGATGAGCATTCATTTGGATGTTCAGGAAAGGAAGGCTCCTCCCTTAGCCAACACAGGAACAGATATCTGGACTGGGATGTAGCTCAGTTGGTCGAGTGTTTGCCTAGCATGTGGGGGGTGGGGGGGGGATGGGGGAAGGGGGAACCTGGGCTCAAAACCCTCCACTACTGCCTCAATCAGTAGTGATGGCACAAGCCTGTTATCCCAACATTCAGGAAGTACAAGGTGGATCAAAGGTTGAAGGTCATCTTCTGCTAAATAGTGAGTTTGAAATCATGAGAAACATGAGACTTACCTAAGATGATGAGACAGATGGATGGATGGATAGACAGAAGAATGGATAGATAGACAGATGATGGATGGATAGACAGATGATGGATGGATAGATAGATGATGGATGGATACATAGATAGACAGACAGACAGACAGACAGACAGACAGATAGATAGATAGATAGATAGATAGATAGATGATCTAGAATAGATTAGTCAAGCCTGACAACCTGACTTCAAGCTCCAAAACCTATATGGTGGATGGAGAAAACTAACCCCTAGGAGTTGTCCATGCCCTCCCTTGGAACCCTGAAGAGAAATGGGCTTGTGTTCTAGAGACCTCCAAAGGACGTGACTTGATCACCTTGCTTCAGCTAACAGCGCATCCAGGTAATGAAGGGGCAACGGTGCCCGTGACCCTCAGGGAGCGTATATGATTGTTAGGGCTTGTGCCACCCACATCATAAACTGATCATGACTGCTATATGCATCTGCAATGAGAACAGCTTCCAAAAGACATCAGCACTCCCTAAAGAGACTCCTTGTATCAACGAGATGCCTTTTAACCCTAACAGTGATAGAAGAAGGCCAATAAGTGAAACATTTACTGCATAACTTGCTTTATTTTGAGGTGGCGTATGATTCCTTTCTTGCCATCGCTAGAAGACGTTTGTGCACTAATTTGCTCCCTAGAAATCTCACTTGCTACAGTTACACGGCCGTGACGTTTTATTGCCCGGAGCCAAGTCTGCATAAGAGCTTTCTTAAGATACACTTACCCTAATGCCAGGCTACAGGAGCCAGGCTGCTTTTGTACCAAATTACTTGTGCTTCCCTGATATACAGGCCAGAGCCTCCCTTGCAGTCATTGCCATAGGGTAGGTCTAAATGTTTCTGAGCAGGGAAAGGGGTAGGGAAAAGGTGAAAGAAAGTTTCACCTAAGTTGATCTTGCAGAAGTCTTCAGAATAATAATTGCTTGTGTGTTTAATATATGAAAATTCCAATGTTTTCTTTTCATTTTCTTTATATGAGTGAGGTGTGTGTTTGTGTTAGTGCCGGAGTGTGTACCTG